ACACACACACACACACAGACGTGCAGACACATGCATAAACATGAGCTCTGATTTATGAATTAACATAAAATATTCATTGTTGTGTGAAGTGCAGCAAATATTCCTTCATCGTTCTCTTACATGAGGTCACATGATTCATGATGTTTACATACGTGTCTTCAAACTATGATGAACATGTTGACTCATCAGCCTCCATCAGTCCTGTAACACTTCACTACACCTCCATCATGAGTCCGTCTCTGTTGTCATGACGTCCATTTTATGTCACGTTGCCTCGTTTAATCCAAAAAAGACAGAAGAAGAAAAGACGACAATGTTGTGAATGGTTTGTATTTTACATCTTTTCTCGTCTTGCGGACACTCAGTGCGTCTCTGAGCGTCAGACTTCAGCTCAGTGTCTTTAAATATGTTTAAAATGAATAAAGATGTTTTCATATAATTACTTCTAATATTCATATACTCAACTGTCGTTAATGTCAGAATCAGTTGAACACGCCCTGTGGACACAATAACCACGGTTCACTGTTCTCTGATCAGACCTCGTCCCCGGCGGGTCGCCACGACTCCCGCAGCAGCCTCCGCAGCAGAAAGGAAGGAACGCTCCAGAAGATCGGAGACTTCCTGCAGAGCTCCCCTACGCTGCTCGGCACTAAAGGTCAGTGTGTCGGCGAGCGACTCGTTACGGAGGCTGGGTTCAGCTGGTTTCTGTAGAAAAGCATCATGGGAGCGAGGAGGTGTCGGAGAAACGGGAACTCGGGAGGATCCCAAGGTTGTTGGCTTTTATAACCAGTGGACACACACTCATGCAGTTTGACGTGTTCACACACACACGAGGGAAAAGTTCTCGGCTGTGTCGTGTCGAGGAGGGAGTGGAGGCCCAGATGTTTCTTTAGAAGTTCTAAATGTCACTGTTAAAAACCTGCGACATGAGTCACCAGGGTGAACCTCAGAGTTCCTGTCGGGGCCGTTTGGCGAAGGATAACACGGGTTTGACACGGTGACCGGGCGAGGGCGGCGACACTAATGATGGCTCCGAGGAGGAGGTGGAGACGGGAACATATTGGAACCAACCACAGTCAACACATGGTTGCAGTCGTCTGCCTCCATCTGATCCTCCCTCCATCTCTCTCTCTGCTGCTCGCTCTTCCCTCCATCCTTCATCTCTCACCTTCACTCGTCTTTTGTCTCGGTTATTTTACCTCCTCCAGCTCCTCTCACTCTACCGCTCTGTATCTTTACTCTTCCACAGTTTCCTCCTCTTATTGTTCTAACTCTGAAAGTTAAACTGACTCCATGTTGTTGATGTTTTAATAAAATCATGTTTCCTGTGAACCTCAACTGAAAAAGCAGAAGCTGATGATGTTTATTCCAAATGTCTCTGCAGCAAAGAAGATGATGAGTCTGGTGAGCGGTCGGGTCGATGCCGACTCCGCAGCCTCCTCCTCCTCCTCTTCGTCACTCAGTCTGAGAACAAAGAAGAACAAGAGGAAACTGTACAGGCCTGAGATCTCCTCCCCCATGGACATGCCCTCACACCCAGTGAGTTTGTGTTCAGACTATAACACAACCCCCGAGTTTTCAAACTGAAACGAGACCAGCAGCGTCTAGTCTCTGATTCGGAGGCTGAAAGACTCCGTCTGGAGTAACCATAGCAACAGTGATGAGTTTAGAAACTAACCGTGTTAAACTTTGTTCTTCTTGTAGATCATCAGCCGAGAGCCGGCGGAGAGAGAGAGCGACCATCAGATCATCAGGAGGCGTCTTCGCTCCAGGGTGATGAAATAAGGAACGTTCGTCGAGTGGAGAGTCGTCAGTCAGCTGATTCTTTGATGAAATATTTCTTTAAAGGGCGAGTGTCTGTGTGGAGCAGTTAGCTTAGCATAAAGACGGGAGGCTAACCTGGTTCAAATACCTCTGTCAGTCTGAATTCAGTTCATCTGATAATCAATAATCAGCTGACTGATGATGACATCACGTGACGTCACTTTATATGATCAATAAAAAACAGTCTTTATATATTTATCTTTAGACAAAACATGCTGACTTTTACTTTTACGTGCAATTAACCCTCGAGGTTCTCGTGTAGGTGAGATTTGTTTTAATCAGTTACTTTATATTTACTTTCATATATTTAACATTTCTGTTCGTTAAAAGAAGAGTTTTCTTTTTCTGTGAAACCACTGAAGCTTCGTGTTGTGAAGAGAAATGGTTCAAATCCCTTAAACTACCGTTCAAAGTCAAACACTCGTTCCCGCTGCACTTTATCTCTCAAGAACAAAGAGACGTCATACAGATCAAAGTCCCTGAGACATGAAGGATCCCGGTTCTCTTTCGTACCTTAAAGTTGTTTTGAGGTTAAAACGTTAGTTTCATGCACTTTTCTCTCTTAATGTTCAGTTTATTGTTCAGCATCAAACCTTTGTTTCATTCTTTTAATTAAAAAATATAAAACAGCTCAAGGGTTTTATTGTTTCATTCATTTGAAATGAGATCTTTTTTATCACAGGTCAAAGGAAATCACGCTCCACAATTTACTTTACGTTAATATAGAAACGTCTCCTCTGGTAGTTTGTATAGAAA